GCGAAAAGAGATTTAGATCTCGTAACCACTGCTCATAGCTTTTCCCCTTTTGCCCAGTCATCATTCGGGTGGTTATGCGTTGCACTCGCTCTAAGCACGTTACACCCCTCCTGTAATACGGTACCCATGCTGCACACAAGATTTCATGTGTGGGCGCACAATCAAATTACACAATGAGATGAAAACCTCAGGCCTTCTGCATGTCACTGTGGAACACAACCTGAACAGCTGCCACCTAGCCTGATTAGCAGCCTTGGCACACTGAGTTGCGGGTTTAAAGTCTTGGGTCATAAGAACTCCTAGATCTTTCATCTGCGGGCCCTGCTGCATGGGAGCTCCATTTAACGAGTATGTCTCAACCCTCGTTGCTAGGAGCCGGCACTTGCTTAGATTCAAAGGTAGGTCCCACTTGACCGACCACCAATGGATTACCTCTATGTCCCTTCGTAAGTCTAACCCCGTCATTTTGACATCATCAGCAAACATGAAACATGGATTTTGAAGATCCTGTGCCAGATCGTTGATGAATATGATAAACAGTAGGGGGCCTTGCACTGATCCCTTGGGGCGTTTGTTCTCGTATCCTAACCCAGAATGTCCTTTTGGTCAAGAATACTTCCATTCATTTGAATATTGTTCCTGTGATTCCGAATACTCTTAGCTTATGCAGAAGCAGTCTATAACTTACGGTATCCAACGCCTTACTGAAGTCTAGGTAACTCCTCCACCGCTGTGCCTTCGTCTACCCTCTCAGTGACTTCGTCTAGGTAGCATAAGAGGTTAGTCAGGCACAAAACCATGAAACCATGCTGGGCCACGCTGAGTAATGCAGACTCTGAAATTTGGCACAGACATGAGTACTGATTAACTTTTCTATGCACTTGCATAGAATACTGGTTAAGCTAACCGGTCTGTAGTGCTTTGTGTTAGATCTATTACCACCTTTGTGTAACTCCACCATAACGACAGTTTTCCAGTCACCCGGAAGCAAGCCTTCCTCCAGTGACTTTTGAAAGCGGTTTGCTAAGATTTGGGCAAGAAATTTCACAGTGGCAGGGTATATGCCATCGGGACCCGGGGTCTTATTGATGTCCAACTCCCCTAACACCTTTCGCACATCCAATGCAGATATGTGCATCTCTCTTATGCTCGGTAGAAGAGAGGATCTAGGTTCTAATGTCCGGTTGTTTAACCTATGAACACTAGCGAAATAGTTGCCTACTGCTACTACCATGCTGTGGTCGTCTGCTGCCACTGTGTTGTTTTCCAGAACCAATGCGCCTATGGCGTCCATCAAGTTGCTTTTCGATTGTACGTACCTGAAAAACCTCTTCGGTTTCTGCTTGACGTTTTTCGCCAAATTTAGTTCATATCTTCTCTTTTCTACTCTTATGAAACCGACTGTCTTGTTCCTCTGAACCGTATAATTTTACAATGTCAGCAGTGTCTCAAGCTTCTGTTTCTTGTCCTTAGTGCTGCCAGTAGTAGTTCGTACCTTCCTGTGTTTCCTGAAACAGGGTTTCTGGTCTAACACAAGATAAACCTTTCATTATCTTAAAGGTTCTTATCATATCCCCCATGAACCTGCTCTTTTCCAAAGAGAATAGTTCCAAGGCCATGAAGGCTTTGTTTATATTCTTTGGCACGCCGACCCTCAACCATTCTCGTTGCCAGCCGTTAACCCGCCCTAAACAGGTGGCATCCATTTTGAAGAAAGGTGACTGTGGTGATCGAGACTTACGTGATCGCAATCCATGCACGGCCAGGTAAAGTTTTATGTCATCCAATCACCGTTCAGGAAGCTCGACCAATGGTTCACCGGGGGAACATGGAATCCGAGTTAGTAAATATGATGCGTCGGTGCAAACGATTACATGATTGGAGGACGCTCGTTCAACCAATAATATGGACTATTACATTTTATAAAACATGATCTAATTCCATCAATAAAGATAAGCATTTGCTGCTATCAATCCCTCGTGTACTTCATTGGTGTCCGCAGTTCGTGTTGGAGCCAATCCAGTTCTGAGCATCACGGTATATTACGGGTTCTCGTATTTCTAAATTCAATACTATTCTGATTCTGGGTAGTGGATAATTGGAATAAGCTACCGTCGGAACTGATCATGCAGTCAAGTGTCCAGGCCTTTAAAAAAGATCTGGACGCCAGATGGTTGGAGCTGTTCCCTGACATAAAATGTTAGGTGCGTAAATTGTTTTTGCGGAATGTAGAACGCTTCATCAACAAAGGTCTCTCGCCGACACGGCGAGAAGTAAAATCTCTCTTTTTCTCTGTTTGCAGATAGAAGGAGAAACCGATCAATCGCAGAGGAGGACGCACACTCGAGGGCACACCACCGAAGGAATTCTGGACGNGTGATTGGCCTGTGGCCACTATCAGTCCTGTGCAACCTGACCTGAATACCACAATTTGGCTTCGCACAACAGAGATTCCTGCCATTGAACCATTGAACCTCCACGGAAGCGCTTCGAAAATCGAAGAGTGCGTAGAACTTTACAAATTATGGTACAGCATTGGGCAAGGAGAAATGCAAAATCAGTCAGTCCTATTTTTGACGTTGGGCGGACGAGAGCTATATTTCCTGGTAAAGAATCTAGCGTTCCCGAATGTTTCTACTTAATTGCCGTTCGAGAAGTTACAATCCACTTTGCTAGACCAAATTCTTCCAGTGGATTTTCAGGCCACTGAACGGGCCAAATTCAACTCATTGATCACAGCTGCCAACATGCCGTGTCGTGAATTCATTCTCCTTTCGAAGAAACAGGCGTCAAAATGCAACTATGGTGACCGAGTGGAAGAACAACTTTGTGATCATCTCATTGCTGGAGTCATCAACATCTCATTACAACGTAAGATGTTAGAAAAGAAACATCTTTGTCTGACTTGTCGGTTCCGTAATGACACTTGCCATGCATGTGGTAAGATGGGCCATATCCGCAAGGTATGCCGAATGCCCAAGTGCAAACTCATCGATTCCCATATCCCAACGGCGGATGAGAATTCAAGCCCAATTTACACGCTGCAGACCACTGAACCCAACAGCCAGTTCCTGTTCGCCCCAATGAGGTTCCAGTTTGGTGTGGAGTATCGATTCATCATGGACACAGGATGCAGCGGATCTAACCTACTGAAATCAGCACTTACTACGATTTGTCTCAATGCTGTTCTGGCGCATTCATGGGGTTACCGGCCATCAAGTACGATTACTCGGCGAGACGATGTCGTCCTTTCAATCTGAGTCCGGTGTGTCAATCCCATACCGACTCCTGGTATCAGCCCACAGTCCGTCTATTCTGGGTCTGCGAGCAATGCGCCTACTAAAAGGGTTAATCGCACTACATACCAACAACGATAAGCCAATCACCTCACATCTTCAACATTTCATTGCACAATGTTCCGGTAACGTTGGTGGCATGAAGTTACCATCGATAAAGTTAGAAGTGGACGGTGAACCTGTTTTCCTAAAACGACGCGTTATCCCATTCGTTCAACGGGAAGGTGTCCTGAAAGCGTAACAGAAAATGGAGCAGGATGGTGTGATGAATCCAGTGCCTGGGTGACCCCGATTGTCGTGGCGATGAAAAGTGATGGTAGGACACCACGGATCTGTTGAGACTATCGACTGACGTTGAATCCCAGATTGCGGAGATGTGCAGCGACTACCAGGGAACCAGAGGATTTCACGAAGTCATCGCATGGGTGCCAGTGTTTTTCCATGATCGATTTGGCGGACGCATACCTACACATTTCACTTGGTTTCAAATCTCGCTACTTGACAACAATCAACACGCCGTGGGGAATGTATGTAATGATTTTAATAGTAGTAGTCGTAATACGCACGGAATTCGGAACACCAAACACGCAATATGAATTACAGGACCCGAATCGATAATCAGCTATCACGGACTGGATCGCAGAAGCAATGCCCCACGAGAACGAGACGCGAGGAAAAGGCCAGAGGGCAAGCAGGAAGTAGTTCGTTTATTGAAAGAAATAAAGGTGATTAAATAATATATACAAAGGCAGATTATTGGCTACCTGGGTTTCAACCAATTGGATTGCAGCACTGTTTGCATAATCTTGCTTCTGTCTGAATTGTCTAGGATTGGCTGGCACCATTCACCAATGACGTGTATTCAGAAGTTCCTTTTCCCCCTCTCCCCTTATCAGCTGGGTGTACGCCCCAGACTGCCGAGTATTATCTGTTCTATTCCAAACGTTGATGTTGTGGGCCTGACGAAGGCTTGGGGTCTATACCCACAATGGACAATCTGGCTCCGGCAATGGTTGTTGGGCGCGGCCGCTTCCACCGCTTTGACTACATGCGTCCGCATTCCGGACCAGGCTGAGGATCACACCCCCTGCCTCACCAAAAGGTGTTTTAAGGTTAGGTGTCTGGCATGTAGTCAGTCCCCATAGCAACTATCACATCCGCGTTCACAAAAAAATGACAAAGGTGGTACTCAAAAGCAGTTATTCAAATGTCAATTGGAAACATTCCGATCCAAATTTATGCAGAAACCGACAAGAAATCGCTGCGCGATTGGCGGGCGGTGTGACGGTTTTCAAAAGCTTTTGCACACAACACTTTTTTAAGTCCATTATCTTCCTTTTCTTATCTCTGCTTTCTATTTTATGAACCGAACATTTAACAGCTATTTTAACCGGCCTCCTCATTACCCGCTCGGTATTATTGCGGTCTCGCTCCGTGATTTTCTCAATTGTTTGTCGTTCTGTAACTGGGACCTACGACGGTTTCGTGAGTCGCAGATATGTATTGATGTATGCCTAGAATAGAAACGAAATTTCAACTGCCATTCAACTGTTTTCCTACGTGCTGGAAATTTGGTCAGTCGAGGTCGAGACATTGAGATTCGTATTGAACGTTGTTCGGATTGCCCTAACCGTTTGAAACCTTGGTAAACTTTCTTTCGGTAAGCTGTTCTGCATTTTTCTGCTTTGTTCTCAATATTTTGTTCCCAAATTGAATTTAACGTCGTTTCAACCTGGTCAATCATCTTCAATCAGACTATCCTCCTCAGGAGAGAAAGAAGGTGAAGAACCCATCATCGTTAAGAGCTCGAGTACTGCGCCATCCTTGAGGGGATCACACCGCAGCACGAGGTCCTCAATGAAAAGGGTAGAAGTAGAACGACGGTCATGGAGGGATAGACATATTAGAATGTGAGGTGGAGGAAGCCATCTCTCGCCAACAACTGTGCGAGGCCGAGGCTAAGCTGGCTTGGGCAGAGCTTGAGTGCAACAACCATGCAGAAAACGCAGCATCCAGGTGCTCCAAATCAAGCTACAAGGGAAGAGTTGAATCCTATCTACAAAAGAGTGTGCCCGTAGTGAAGTTTAGTAGGGGCGTGAGTGAAATACCTGCACCTTGGCATGAAAGACTTCATGGCTTAGAACTCATTTCTTTCGATGGAAATGCTACAGAATATTGGCGATTCAAACGGCAGTTCGACGGCTTCTTTGCTAGACTCTCTTGTAGGGAAGGTAGAAAACTGGCTTTTCTGTTACACTAATGTAACGGAGTAGCTAGAGAGGAAATAAAACCGTGCATGCTAATGGCAGATGAAGATGGGTAACATACGGCCAGGGAGATACTCGATGCATTTTTCGATCAACCGCATGAAGCAGTCAGAGCTGTAGTAAAGGACGTTCTAACTAAAACAGCAGAATTGATCATGCGCACTAGCATGCATCGCGGGCTTCGTGAAATATACCGTTATTAATAATTTTGTTAAATTACAAAGCTGCTACATGTTCCTAACGGAAATGGGATGTGGATCCGATTTGGATTCCTTACCCGTGCTGGAGTCATTGGTTACACGATTGCCCAGACGCTTGCAACGTTCGTGGGCCGAAGTGTCGGACAGGATCGTATCCAATGGCGGACGGTACCTGTTTATCGACTTCATTGAAATGATAGAAGCAGAGTCGAGGATTCAGAACAGCCCTTCTGGAAGGCTAGTGGACACAAGGCGTTCACTAGAGGTTAATCGCCCCTGGGGCCCTCGGCGTAACAAGCATATGAACGTCACTACAACTAGACAAACATCGGAATCAATACAGCACTTTCAGTACCTTTTGTTTTGGAAATCACACCCACATACTAGATGTGAAGGTTTCCTCAAGTTGAATGTAGTGGAGGGACAGAAAACTGCGAATAAATTGAAGCTTTGTTTTAAGTGTATTGAATGTGGACACCTGACGCGGGCAGAAGAAGAAAGATGTAAATGCTTGGTTCATGGTTGCACCGGCAAGCATCATAGCCTCCTTCACTTGTCGCGTAGGGATCAAGTGTCCGCGAATGTGCAAACAATCGTAGGGGATTCCTATTCAGTGCCGACTGATATTACTTACCTCGGAATGGTCCTGTAAAAATAATGCACGGTGACAAATCGCTGAAGTTATATGCCTTGCTAGATAGCGGTTTGGATACCACAATAGTTCGTAAGGAAGTTTCTGAACTGTTAGGGCTATTGCCCGGGAGTACGAAAGAACGTTCACATCGTGGCTGGAGGGCAACATATAGTTAGATAAAGGGTATAATTCGAAGTTAGCCCCCTTAGGGATGATAAAGGTATTAAGGTAATTACTGCATACACCATGGAAGATCTATTAATGCCAAGAACTCAGGTACCGGCTAAGAAACAAACGGCTCGATTAACCCACTCAAAGGGTATAGAGAGGGAGAATGTGACCAACCCTATGGTTCAGTTGATCATTGATTGTGATGTCCCCCAAGCTCATTGGGTGATTAATGGCCGATACGGTGGGCCAAATGAGTTCTTTGTGATCGAAACTGCGTTAGGATGGTTGATTATTGGACCGTACTTGAGCGTAACAGCTCGCAAACAAATGTTTACAGTTACTCGGGAGAGTAAAACTAGCATCATGTTGGAGGATTTATGCAACCAGGACTTTAAAGACCTGCATACGACGATCATACATCACTCTGAGGAAGATCTTTTAGCGTTGAAAATAGCAGAGAAATCGATAAAACATGACGGGAAACGATTTAGCCTCGGATTAACGTGAAAAATCAAACCAGAGACCATGTCGAACAAAAACGAGCTAGTAATTCGGAGGTTAGAACGCCTGAAACGCAGGTATATGCAAGATCCAAATTTATTTAATAAGTTCAATAGTTCATTGAACGATTACTCTCGAAAGGCTATTTCGATCGCGTACCTGACTATCAACAGGAAGTCGTGTATAGACCTAGGTGGTACCTATCACATCATCCGGTGGTAAACCCAAAGAAACCTGAAAGGGTTAGAAAAGTCTTTGATTATGCAGCAACATATCAAGGAGTTTGTCTTAACCAACAGTTATTGTCAGGACCAAATACCGTAGCTAACTAAGTTGAAGTAATGCTGCCCTTTTGCTTAGGCAAAGTAGCTGTAGCAGCAGACGTACAAGAGATGTTTTTGCAGCTTAGAGTGCCTGAACATGACTCGGGGGCATTAAGATTCGTTTGGTCGCCTGTTGGAGATCTCAATCAACAAGGAAAGGAATACAGAATTTTAGTTCATCCATTTGGTGCCACGTCGTCGCCATTTTGTGCGAACTGCGCCTTATGCCGCACGGTCGGATCATTCACAGACAGGCAATGATCGAGTGAGATGTGCAACTGGACAATATTTTTACGTCGACGACTTTTTAGCATCGTCTTACGATGCCGAACAAGCAATGCTTTTCGCGGATCAATTAAGAATAACGCTTAGCAAGGGAGGTTTCCAGCTATGCAAGTGGTTGAGCAACTGCAGTGACGCCATAAGTAATATTCCAGAGAGCGAAAGGGCAGTTAGTTGTGCACAGCTAAATATGAATCTAGATGCCCAAGAGCCTACTTTAGACATGAATTGGCTTATTGTTGACGATGCTTTCATCTTCCCGTTTGAAGCAATCCGAAAGACATTCACTAACAGGGGACTGCTAACCTATGTTGCTTCTCTGTGTGACCCTATGGGGCTTGTTACTACAATACTTCTGACGAGTAGAGTTTGTTACAAGCACTTTATCGCCAAACCCTTGGATGAGATGAACTAGTAGGTGAGAATGACCGGCGCACTTGGGAATCTTGGGTTAGTGAGGTCAACAAATTGAAGGAACTAAAGGTGCCGAGACGTATGGGGAGTGAAAACCAAAGAGCCCATGAGTCAGCGCAAATGGGCATATTCAGTGACACATCTGAATCAACTTAGGGGACCGCAGCCTACTTGAGGGACAGCATAAATGGTAATGTTGTATGTAACCTTGGTATGGCTAAATTTCGCGTGGCTCCACGTAAGGAAGTTACCATACTCAGACTAGATCTGGCAGCTGCCGTTGTAGCGATCGCGTTGTGATACCATAAGCCAAGAGTTGGATATTTCAAAGGGATCTATATTCTACTGGACTGATTGAACAATTATGCTTTATTACATAAACAACAGATCAGCTCGTTATAGCACATTTATGGCCAACCGATTGGCTAATACATGAAGGCTCAAAACCT